GACTCCTGGGCCTGATTTCTGCTCCCTGGGCACAGAAGGGGGCTTTAAGGAGATGTCCTCTCCAACCCTTAGGGCAAGATCCCTCATCATTTTCTTTTTTCTGAATCAAGAGACCTTTGAACAGCTTTTAATAAGTTACTGGCCCCCTCTACCCAGCAAAGTGCATTTACAGTCTATATTTATAGTTATGGGGAGAGACTAGATTAAGATGGAAGAGAATGGGGTGAGGTTGTAGGGAATTTTCTCCTGGTTCACACTTTCTTTCTTTTCTTTCCTTTCCTTCCTTTCCTTTCTTTTCCCTCCCCTCCTCTCCCCTCCCCTCCTTTTGACGGAGTTTTGCTCTTGTTGCCCTGCAACCTCCGCCTCCCAGTTTCAAGCAATTTTCCTGCCTCAGTCTCCCAAGTGGCTGGGATTACAGGCACCTGCCACCATGCCTGGCTAAAATTTTTTTGTTTTGTTTTGTTTTGTTTTTTTGAGATGGAGTCTCACTGTGCCACCCAGGCTGGAGTGCAATGGCGCAATCTCGGCTTACTGCAACCTCTGCCTCCCAGATTCAAGTGATTCTCCTGCCTCAGCCTCCTAAGTAACAGGCGCCCGCCACCACACCCAGCTAAATTTTGTAGATTTTTGTATTTTTAGTAGAGATGGGGTTTCACCATGCTGGCCAGGATGGTCTTGAACTCATGACCTCAGGTGATCCACCTGCCTCTGCCTCCCAAAGTGCTGGGATTACAGGTGTGAGCCATTGTGCCCAGTCGCCTGGATCGATCACTCTTGATGCTGAAATGGAAAGGGTCTCACTATGTTGCCCTGCCACAAGATTCAAGGTGGCCCTCAAGTTTCACCCTTGATGCTGAAAATAGAGAAAGGGTCTCGCTATGTTGCCCAGGATGGCCTTTGAGGCCCCCCAAAGATAACTAAGCCATTTGCAGAAGTAACATAGGGCACAGAAGTAGGGCCAATACTTTTCCATTTTCCAGCATGAGATGAGTTAAGAGCACAGGCTCTGGTATCAAACTGTCTGGGTTCAAATACTGTCTTTGTCTTTAACATGTCCTGGGAACTCAAGCAAGGCCCTTAATATACTGTTACATTTAACCTCCAGAGTTACTGTGTAGATAGATAGCAACAGGATAGCATTGGTGGGAGTGTGTGAACACACAACTCAGTCTGTAACAATTGCTAAATAAATTATATTATTACTGTTGTAATAGAATAAAGAAAGGCAAGCTCAGAGAAGTGAAGTGACTTTGACAAGGACACAGACAAGTTATGATTATAACCTGGGCCTACTCATCTCCTACTCATCAAACAACGCTAGGGGGCTGTTTACCCCCCTAACTAATGTTTTACAAACTACAAGGCACAACCAGAAAATCAGTTCAGCGGGTTGCAGAATTGAAATAAATAGAATATTAAGGGCCGGGCGCACTGACTCACGCCTGTAATCCCAGCACTTTGAGAGGCTGGGATGGGCAGATCATTTCAGGTGAGGAGTTCGAGACCAGCCTGGCCAACATGGTGAAACCGCGTCTCTACTAAAAATTCAAAAATTGCCAGGCGCAGTGGCTCAAGAAAGAAACTCAGTTTCAAAAATAAATAAATAAAAAATAAAAATACAAAAATCAGCCAGGTGTGGCTTTGGGAGGCTGAGGCAGGTGGATCACGAGGTCAAGAGATGGAGACCATCCTGGCCAACATGGTGAAACCCCGTCTCTACTAAAAATACAAAAAGATTAGCTCGGCGTGGTGGCGCATTCCTGTAATGCCTCTACTGAGGAGGCTGAGGCAGGAGAATTGCTTGAACCTGGGAGGCGGAGGTTGCAGTGAGCCGAGATGGCGGATGGCACCACTGCACTCCAGCTTGGGCAACAGAGCGAGACTGTGTCAAAAAAAAAAAAAAAAAGAATATTAGGCCAAGTATAGTGGCTCACATGTCTAATCCCAGCTCTTTGGGAGGCTGAGGTGGGTGGATTGCCTCAGTTCAGGAGTTTGAGACCAGTCTGGGCAACATGGTGAAACCCTGTCTCAACCAAAAATACAAAACAATTAGCTGGGCATATATCTGTGGTCCCAGTACTTGGGAGGCTGAAGTGGGAGATGGCTTGAGCATGGGTGGTGTCAGTTGCAGGTGAGCTGAGATCGTGCCACTGCATTTCAAGCTCGGTGACAGAGGGAGTGAAACCCTGTCTCAAAAAAACAACAAAAAACCAAAACCAAAAGCAGAAAGAGCCGGGCGCAGTGGCTCACGTCTGTAATCCCAGCACTTTGGGAGGCTGAGGCAGGTGGATCACGAGGTCAAGAGATGGAGACCATCCTGGCCAACATGGTGAAACCCCGTCTCTACTAAAAATACAAAAAAATTAGCTCAGCGTGGTGGCGCATTTCTGTAATCCCAGGTACTCGGGAGACTGAGGCAGGAGAATTGTTTTAACCTGGGAGGTGGAGGTTGCAGTGAGCTGAGATCTTGCCACTGCACTCCAGCCTGGAGACAGAGCGAGACTCCATCTCAAAAAAAAAAAAAAAAGAGAGATGGAGAAAGCCATTGCCCTTGACTACCAGTGCTGCAAGGAGTTCATACACAAGCACATGGGTGGTTTCAGTGAGATCTCAGTGTGTCATAATTAAGTGCCCTAGGAGGGGCTAGGATTCAAGTTGGCCCAGGGGAGACTTTAGACGTAGGGGAATGGCCTGTTCAGCTGTTCAGCTGACAGGAGAGAAAGGAGAGAAGAGGGTTGGTCACAGTAACGTTGAGTCTAGATTAGGGCAGAAGGGCTAATTCTTGAAACAAACATTCTGCAAGAGCCCATTCTGGGCAATGTTGGATACACACTGATGTCTGAGACAGTCTTGGTCTCTTCCTTTACTGGGTTTCCTATGCAGTCCTCACTAAACAGACCTGTCACCAGACAGTAATAGATGAAAATGGTTAGGGCTGTGAAGTGGGGCGGGGGGCATTGGTCAGAGTTATTAACACCGACTGATGGGGAAGACCGTGAATTAGGAATACTGAGCAGCAAGTTCCAAGCTAGAAACCAATTAAGATAGGGCTAGTTCCAGCAGTAGGTTTACCTCTCGGAAAACGAAAGCCCACTCCAGCCTGGAGACAGAGTGAGACTCCATCTCAAAAAAAAAAAAAAAAAAAAAAAAAGGCAGGATTTGCCCAAAACACACAGACTGAGGTGGACCCAGGATTCAACTCTCAGCCAGGCATTTTTCTCACTTACTAATGCATACAATTGCCAAGCTATATGGCATACTGGAACCCAAATTCAGGAGGCAGCACAATCCCCTACAAGAGAGGAGGGGCTGGGAGGCAGATGCCTCACAGCTGTCCAGTACAACTAGCTAATATACAGATCAGGATCTGTGCAAAGCTCTTTTCTTGCAGGGTGATTTTTTTTTTTTCTTTTTTTGAGACGGAGTCTTGCACTGTTGCCTGGGCTGGAGTGCAATGGCACGATCTCGGCTCACTGAAACCTCCGCCTCCTGGGTTCACGCGATTCTCCGGCCTCAGCCTCTCAAGTAGCTGGGATTACAGACACCGCCACGCCGGGCTATTTTTTTTTTTTTTTTTGTATTTTGAGTAGAGACGGGGTTTCACTGTGTTGGCCCGGCTGGTCTCGAACTCCTGACCTCGTGATCCGCCCGCCTTGGCCTCCCCAAGTGCTAGGATTACAGGGGTGAGCCACCGCGCCCGGCCGCAGGGTGATTTTAAGGCCTTTATGGGCCTTATAAAATGTTATATCCCAGATTCACTGGAATATGTACGATGAGAGCAGGTGGCATTAATATTTTGCAGTCATGAACTAATTTGTAAAAACCGTTTTGTTTACATTAAAATAGTTCAAAAGCCAGCGACACAGGGATGATTGTTTCCATTTAGCAGATGTGGATACTGAGGCACAGAAAACGGTCAAGCCTTCTGCCCACAGTCACCAGAAAGAAGGAAATTCAAATCTCGGGTTGTGTGGCTTCAGAGCCTGAGCTCAACCATGACGAGTTCACTGAAAAGGAAACCCCTCCTAACTAACTCCCGCTCCGGATTCCTTTAAGAACACAGAACGAAGTAAAACAAGATCAAAGCGTATGTAAATACGGACTAGAGGCTGCCGGGAAATAATCTCTGCGGTGAGTCCCTAGGGAAAGCAGGCGTCGGAGTCCTACTGCGCCTGCGTAACCCCACCTCGGCTTTCCGCCCCACGCTTTAGCGAGGCCCATCTCTAACCCACACAGGCCCAAAGTTGTCTAATGTGCGCAGGCGCCCTGCTGTGAGCCCGCCTCCTTCTCTGCCCTGCGCTTGCGCTATTGCTCTCTCAGAGTTCGTCTCCGGCTCTTTGTACGTCACTTCCTGTTTGTGGCGCGAGAGGGCGGTATTTCCGTCCAGAGGGTGGGAGGGGGCGGTAAGCGGGGGCTGGGGGGAGGGGGCGGGGGGGCCGCGCCGCGCGAGCCGTTGGGCCTGGCTCGGAGAAGGCGTCGCCGCCGCCGCTGCGGGCGCCGTAGCCACTGCCGGGAAACACAAGGAACGGGAACCAGTGCAGCGTGGCGATGGGCGGGGGTAGAGCCCCGCCGGAGAGGCTGGGCGGCTGCCGGTGACAGGTGAGTGCGCCAGCGCGTGTCCCCGAGCGCCCTCCCCTCGCGATGGTCGCGTCCGGGCCCCCCGCGGTGCCGCGATGGGCTGTACCACCCGTGCCCGCCGGGGGGACCGCGGCCCTCGAGCCCCCCCTTCCGGAGCTGACTGGGGGTGGCCGAGCGGGGGCGGTGGGACCAGCCGCGGGGGGCCGGGGGAGGTGGCGGCGGGCCGTACCACTGAGGCGGCGAGGGGAGCGCTGCGAGTGTGCGGGACGGGGAGCGCAGGCCCCAGCGTGCGCGGGCCGGGGGCTGGACCCGTGGGGCGCGGCGGGCAGATCGAGCCTGGCGTGCGCGGGCTAAACTATCGAGGGGGCGCGCCGCATCAAGTGTAGAGGGGTGTACCTTTTTGGCGCTGTGAAAGCCGTTGCTGTGCTGTATTTACAGGGGTGGGGGCTTCTTGGGAGCATGCTTCCCGAAGTGTGGCTGGGTAGTATCACCACGGCGTTGGGGGAGCCCTGCTTAGAACGTAGGGGAGCCCAAATCAGAGGAGGACTGTGATGTTTGTGATCTTTAAGGGACTGGGACGGGGCGGGACAGGCCCTAGTGGATTTTAGGGGCGTATTTTGGGAGGACTGTGATTCCGATTGGTGAGAAGGGGTTTCTGTTTCTTGTATTTGACGTGTGTGGGGTTGGGGGTTTACACTGAGCTCAGCCTTTATTGAACTTCTTAACGACTTTGGAGGGAACGTCATGGTTACTGGGGTGCTTTGGACCACGGAGGTGCTGCTCTGGATTCCATTACCCTCTCAGATTTTTCACCAGGCAGTAACAGTTCTTTCCTTCCATAGGGGAGGGAGGAAAGCTGCGTTGGAAGTCACTGAAGTTGTCTGAGCTTTAGGCTCCACATTCGGAAGAGGAAGAGGGATTAGGCTTGGATTTGAGGAGCCGTGCCCCTGGACCAGCTTGTTAAAACTTGGGAGGAAGGAGTGTTTGGGGGAACACCTCTTCCCCCCGGGAAAGCTTTCTGGGGGCATCTTGATCTTAGGATTGTGAGGACTTCTTCTCATTTGGAGACCTCTTGGGCTCAGCAAGATGCCTGGGCTGGAGTAACTAGGGTCTCCAATGGGCTGCTTTTCAACCTCATCCACTCCTACTTTTCCAGAGAAGCAGGAGTTCACTCGTGGGCTGACCTTGGTTGGCAGTGGATGTGAAGGGTCCAGGAACCAACGCAGACCATGACATGCTCCTCTGTCGCTGGCCACGAAGCTGTTTGTGTCTCCCGGTTACCAGATCAGTCACACATCATGTTTACACTCCCCACCAAGGCAGTAACAGTTGGCCTTGCAGTGAGGCCGGGAGCTGTTTTCCCAGCTGTTCCTCTTTGCATGGGCCAAGGGGACTTGGAGGGGGGTGCCCCTGGCCCAGCCTGGCCCAAGGAGGAAGGCTGCTCTGAAGGGCTTCGGACAGTCGATCCCCCGTTGATCTGGTGTCTTATTGTGGTCTGTGGACTGGTGCTGGGAGTAGCCAGCCCCAGAGGTCTGTGGCCAGTGTCCCTGCTCCCTAGGCCAGATCATGACCTTGGCTTGCCCTGTAGCCTTTGCTCTGGGTCTGGAGTTCCCGGAGGACTGGCTGCAGTCCCTGATTGACCCAGCAGACCTGGGCTGGTGATGTGGTCGGAGGGGGCAGACGTTTGTCCCTAGTCCGCAGCAGTGACTTCCAAGCTGACTGGCTTCCGTGCCCTGTGGTTCCTGGAGAGAAAGGTCCCACAGTCTGTGAGGCAGCGGGGGCTCTGTTATTATTTTTCTCCACTAGGGTTTTGTTCCTCTGGTCCTCTCCTGCCAGCTTTTAGAGGCTTTGCCTGATAGGGCTAACAGCGGCAGTGAAAACAGTAATCACGAAATTGATGGCTGATAGTAACTGAGTGCATTCTGTGGGCCACACATTGTTTGGAATGCTTCTTAGAGATAAACTTGCTGAATACTTGAATTCTAGAGCGGTAGGCGCTGTTGTTATGCTTTCCCTTTTAGATGAGAAAACAGCAGCTCAGAGAGGCAAATTATTTCCAGAGCTAGTGGATGCCCAGTGTTTATAGCATTCACCCCATGCCAGGCGTGTGACAGGGCTTTTGCACATGTGACCTCACTTAAGTCTCAAAACGTACCTGTGGTTAGGCCTATTTGGTGGAGAGCTACAAGCTAGCTAGAAGTGTGATACCATTTTACAGATGAGGAATCATTTCACTCACTGTGAAGTGTAAAGATTTCCCTGAGGTCTCATAGCTGAAGTGGTAGAGGTGTGATGTGAGCCCTTGGCCCACCTTGGCCTCAGATCCTCTTGTCAAGGAGAAACTGGAGCAGTGGCTTTTGTCTGTGAGCATATACTCTGCCCAGCCCTGTGCTTCGGGTTTTATATGGTATTTGTGTCTTTTTTTGCAGCCTGAAATTGAAGTTCAGAGGAAGAATTGCCTTCCCCCAGGTCTTATCAGACCATATGGGCGCCAGGGTGGGATTTGAACCCAGGTCACTGAGCCCCTAGTGCCATGCATTCGTTGCTCACCAGGTTCCAGGCTGGGTGAAAGGAAGAAAAGACATAGGATAGAGTCACTTCTGTCCTCTGTCCTCCACCTATAGAGGTGATTATCCTATGTCTTTCCTTCCTGTCACCCCTGAGTCTCAGGCTGCCCTGAGCACCTCTGCCTGCAGCCAGTCCAGCAGTTCTTGGTCCCTCCTCAGGGTGGAGCCAGGGCATCCTTTAACCCTGGGCAGGTGTGTGCTGGGAGAAGACGACAGCAAGAGAGCCATGCGGGAGGTGACACAGCTATCAGGGACCTGCGTTGGGTAGCGGCAGGATGGAGAAGTGGGTTCTAGCTCTGTGGCCTCAGACCACACTGTTCACTCTCATACATTGGTCTCAGAAGGACACCCACCTTGGGCTGTTGTGAGGATTAAATGAATTAATCCACGAGAAGCTCCTAGAATGGTGCCTGGCACTGTATAAGTCTTGGTTGGCAGTCATGATTATGTTATGGAACTGAGGCATCCAGCCTCCCCCACCCCCTACTTTTGGTCCCCTTGAGCATTCCAGGATCCAGCTCCCCAGCCTGTCCCAGCTAGGATCCAGAACTTCGATGTTCTGGTTTCCAGCCTCTGTAAAGAGCTGCATGGAAGCGAGTGAGAGCACAGGGTTCAAATCCAGCCCTGCCACTCCATGGTTGTGTGATCTTGAGCAGGCTCCCCAACCCTTCTGAGCTCATTTCATCATCGGTGTCATGGGGAGGATGATAATTCCCACGTGATAGGATTATTGTGAAGGTTGAGTGGATTAATTTGTGGGAAACATTCATAACTATGCTGGCATACAGTAAGTCTACCTGAAACGTCCCCTACTGAGAAGAGTGCCTGACACATGGTGAGCCATTGGTATATCTTAGCAATTGTAATTCTTAGTATTTCTGCCAGGACTTTGAAGGCCCTTGCCAGTTCACAGAACCGTGTCAGAGAGCACTAGGAGGAAATCAGGGCTGAAATTAGCATCTCAGTTTTCCAGATGCAGAAACAGAGGTCGGAGGAGACATGCAATCAAGACAGAACTGACAAGGGCAGCTCCCGGGCCCACTCCGCTTCTACACAGTGGCTTTGCAGCCCTGAGCCCCTGCAAGGTAGACACATTCGAGTCTTTTCAGAGGTCAGGCTCTGCTTTTTTTCTTTTTTCTTTTGAGACAGGGCCTCACTCTGTCACCCAGGCTGGCGTGCAGTGGTGTGATCACAGCTCACTGCAGGCTTGACTTCCTAGGCTTAAGTGATCCTTCCACCTCGTACTCTTGAGTAGCTGGGACTACAGGTGCATGCCACCATGCCCAGTTAATTTTTAAATTTTTTTGTGGAAACGTGGGTCTTGCTGTGTTGCCTAGGCTAGTCTTGAACTCCTGGGCTCAAGTGATCCTCCTGCCTCAGTCTCCTGAGTAGCTGGGACTATAGGTGCATGCCACTGCCCCTGGCCACCACAGCTCGCAGTTCCAGGAGTGGCAGGAAGGCTGGGCTTGGGCAGGAGAGCAGCAGAAGTACCTGCAGGGGTTGGCAGGGGCTATGCTGCACTGGCCTGTGGGCCTGGGTGAGAGGCGAGGATGGATCCTAAGGGTATTGTGGAGCCGAGGAAAAGGTTTCACTCACCCACCACCATTTACTGAGCGCCTCCTGTGTGCCAGCGTTGCATCAGTACTGGAAATACAGCGGTGTGCTTGTCAAAGTCCCTATTCTTGTGGGGCTGAGGGAGGCCAACCCGAAACAGGTGAATAAGCAAGGAGCCGGTTAGAAGGGGAGGTGCTAGGCAGCGAATTCAAATCGGGTGACAGACTGGGCACTTCTTTAGATGCATGCGGCTGCGCGGAGGGCCTCTAAGCTGATCCCAGTTTGGCAAGGTGAGGCAGTCATGTGGGTTGGGAGGAGAAGGAACAGCCATCCAGGTGGAGGGAACCATAGTGCAAAGGTCTGAAGGGAGGACAGAGCTTGGTGAGGTGCAGGGACAAGCCTCACGGAGGCCTGTGTGGCTTGGCAGAGCGAGGGAGCAGGGAGGAGATGAGTCCAGGGGCTGTGGGGCAGGCAGGGCCCTGTCACTGGGAGCCTTGTGGACTGTCTGTGAAGGAGTTTGGAATTTCAGCAGGAACAGCCTGGTCAGATTTAGGGTGTTAGTAGGTAACACAGGAGAGGGTCACAGGCTCCTGCCTGGGGGGGTGGGTAGATTTAACTGAGCGGAGCAGGGCGTTTCACAGGCCTCCCACTTCCCCTCGGGTAGCATCACTGCCTTACAGCCAGCAAAGGCCCGAGGGTTGCCTCCCTCTCCTGTGGTTTTCACACCGTGTTCCCCAGAGCCCGTGGCTGTTACTTTTAGGGAAAGAGGAGGGGAGGCTCGTTGGGCTGATTTCTCTGCCCTTCCCTCCCCAACCCAACCAGCCGGACTAATACTGAATAGCAATGCAGAGCAGCAGTCACACCTGATACAGACAGCACCCGCTGACCCTACGTCCACGCTACCGTGGGCCTGCAGGCCTGCGCCATTCCCGGTGCTCCTCTGGAATTGGAAAGAGCAGGTCTTGTGACTGGCGCCCAGCACCCAGGTCTCTGGTGGGCCTCAGGTGTGGTTGATATTACGAAGACAAAATAAATGAGGGCCAGGTTGAGAGTGTGGGCATGTTTCTCCACTGTAGCTGGGTGATCAGGGAGGACCTCCCTGAGGAGGTGACGTGTGGGCAGGGACTGGAGTGCTGTGAGAGAGCCATGGGAGTATCTGGGGGAAGACATGTTAGACCCGGGAGGAAGCTTCTCTGATTCCCGCCTTACAGCGGTGAGAACTGAAGCCTGGAGAGCCTCTGCAGCTTGTGCTGGATCCCCCAGCCAGGAAGTGTTGGGGACAGGCTATGAATCTGGGTCTCCAGAGATTCCCGCAGCACAGCTCAGTAGCCCCTGGTGAGTGTGACTTCTGATCCCACCCATGGGCTCACCCCTAAGGCTTAGTGCAGGAGCAGGCGCCCTGGCGTTTGTTTTTTTTGAGGTGTGTTCCAGGGTATCTTCCTAGAAGGAGCACAGTTCCTCAGAACAAATCTCTAGGGTCCCCAGAAACCCCCTGGGATGAGTTGGGATGGAAAGGAGTGTCTTTCAGACTTGAGCTTCAAGCCCCTGGAGGACCCAGGGACACCCCTCCCCGGGCCTCTCTTCAGCTTCCCAGAGCTCTCCGCGGAAGGCCCTCAACCACAGGCCTCCGGGCCGCACGGTGGGGTGGTTCCATGGCAGGCTCTTCTGGATAGCCAGCCAAGCAGCGAGAGGCCCAACTGGGGGAGACAGCCTGGGAGCAGGACCAGGAGGGAGGGAGCGAGTGTGGGAGGGGTGCTGGGTGGGAGCTCAGCCTGGCCCCCTTGGGGCAAGACCCACTGCCAACTCGGCACCCACAGCAGGGCCCGGGTGCTCTGAGTTTGCCGAGTAAGGGACGGCAAGCCAGGCCGGCCAAGAGGAGACTGCATGTCAGAGGTCCCCGCAGGAGTTTCTTCAGCCCAGCCGTCCTGCCGGAGAAGCTCGTTCGCAGATGTTGTTTCTAAGGGTGAGGCCAGAAACCCAAGCCTGCCTTGGTTTGCCACTTCGTGAGCCCTTTCTGAATGGGCTGGGGTGGTTCCCGCTCCCTGGTTCTCCTCTCCAGCCTGGCTTCGAGTTCTTCATGGTCTGGTGGGTCATTGGTGTACTGTTACCCAGCTGGGGCTGCTGAGTGACCTGGTCCCGGGGGCAGCTGACATGGGTGAGAACCCTGCTCCTGGCACCCCTCTTGGTGGCCGTGGAACCCTGGGGCCTTATTTCATCTCCCTAAGGTGCAGTTTGCCCAGCTGTGAACGGGAACCTTCCTGCTGAGTGGGGTGGTGGGGAGGTTGCAGGGAGCTGCTGTGTTAGAAAGCACGGGCCTCCTGAGGAGGTGTGGGATGAATTTGGGCTGATGCTGCTTCTGGTGATTGCCAGACAGGACTGAAGGCACCTGAGAGCACAGAAGGGGCTCTGCGGGGCAGTGGGCACAGGCTTGTTGTTGGTCCTTGGGAGAGAGTGGTGGGGCCTGTTAGCTGATGGGAGGGCTCCAGACAGGAGTATGAATCATTCCCACCGCTGCACTCCTGCCCAGCCAGACACTGCGTATGAGCTCTACAGACCTGCACAGCAGCCTAGGAGGTGGGCAGTGTTAGCACCCCCATCTTGTAAATAGGAAACAGGCCCAGGGAGCCACATAGAATGTTGGGGTCATTCTTGTGAGTAGTTCGCCTCTGTGTGCTGGGCACTGCTGCAGAGCTTGAGGTGTCTGCTCTTACTCCTCTTCACCACAGCCTGGCAGCTTGCTGTCACGATTGTCCCCGTTTTACAGGGGAGGAAACAGGCATGGAGAGGTTGTTGGATTTGCCCAAAGTCCAGTAGGCATGACGGTTGAACCCTGCTCTGTCAGCGAAGCTGCCTTTTGAAGAATGCCTCATCTCCTTGTCCTGCCTGCTGTGACTGGAGTTGTCGCTGTTGTCATCAGAATTTCTTTCCTGGTTTCTCTTCTCCTAGACAGACCTGGCACAAAGTAGGCCTCAGTCATCTAGAAATGACTCCATTCCATGCCTGCTCGGGAGGTGGGATGTGGCTGCTGCTCTCCACCCCCAATACCATGACCTTGGCCCCTCCTTTTCCCAGAGCCCAGGGGGAAGGGATGAGGATGGGAGGCACCCTGTCCCCGCTGCCCTGGGGGTCTGATTGCTGAACAGCCTCAGGAGCCGGCCCTTGGCTGTTCTTGGTCATTCGTGTATTCCATCCATCACCAAATATTGATTGAATAACTACTGTGTGCCATGTGTAGTTCTGGATGCAATCAGAGGTGGCAGAGAGGTTGTGTTGGCCTGTGAGTGCTTGGTGTGGCTGAAGGAGGGAACAGAGATCTAGCTGGATCTAGAGTGGAGAGAGGTTTGGGAAGGCTGCTGAGGAGCCCCTGTGATGTGAGAGCCCGAGGAGGTGGGCTGGACAGGGGTGCAGCCAGGTAAAGGCCGCAAGGGGTGGTGGAACAGCAGGCCCATGTGGTTGGAGCCGGGGGAGTGGGTGAAGGGGAGAGAGCAGGGTGGCAGGGTTCAGGGCCTAGGCTGTGGTGGGGAGCCAGGGCTTTATCCCCAAAGAGGAGGGACACAGGTGGGTGGGGAGGGACCTGTGTGGGAGAGAGCTGGCTGGATTCAGGTGGCAGCCAGGGATGGAGAAAGCAGACCATATTCTGCTTTGGAGAGAGGGTCCCCTAGAGCCCAGCTTCTCAAACTGGTGTCCGAAGGCCTTGGGGGTTGGGAGGAGGTGTCTTCAGGGCGTTGACTCTTTTTAGCTGTGTGTTTTCATTTAGATGGTATTTTCAAAAAGTTAATAGGGGTATGTTGGAAATTATCGGGATAATTCCTTTAGAACCAAGTAGTGACAGCAGTAACCTTAGCTGCCACTCCATGGCTCTGACAGGCTCAGGATGGCCTCTCACTTCAGAGTCCTTTATGTAATTGCTACCCGTTTTTCAAGCACTGGCCTTGTCCCCAGCTGTATGTGAAGCCATCTCATTGGGTCCCCAGGACAACCCATGGTTATCAGAAAGATTATCTTTTTAAATTTTTCATTATTTTTTTGAGACAGGGTCTGGCTGTGTCACCCAGGCTGGAGTGCAGTGGCACCATCATGGCTAATTGCAGCCTTGACCTCACAGGCTCAAGTGATCCTCCCACTTCAGCCTCCTGAGTAGCTGGGACCATAGGCACGCACCATCACACCTGGCTAATTAAAAAAAAAATTTTTTTTAAATAGAGATGGGAATCTCCCTATTTTGCTCAGGCTGATCTTGAACTTTTGGGCTCAAGTGATTCACCTGCCTCAGCCTCCCAGAGTGCTGGGATTACAGGCGAGAATCACTGCACCTGGCCTACAAAACTTATTTTTTGAGATAACATAAACACGTGCTTGGGTAGATTGTTAAGATTCCATTCTACAGGCCAGGCACAGTGGTTCACACCTGTACTTTGGGAGGCCGGGGGGCGGGGGGTGGGGTGGATCATGAGGTCAGGAGTTCAAGACCAGCCTGGCAAGATGGTGAAACCCCATCTCTACTAAAAATACAAAAATTAACCAGGCATGGTGGTGGGTAATTTTTATCCCAGCTACTCGGGAGGCTGAGGCAGGAGAATCGTTTGCACCTGGGAAGCAGAGGTTGCAATGAGTCAAGATCTGGCCACTGCACTCCAGCCTGGCGACAGAGCGAAACTCTGTCTCAAAAAAAAAAAAAAAAGATTCCATTTTACAGATGCGGAAGCTGAGATTCAGAGAACCTGTGTAGTGTGGAAGTGGTAGAGTCAGGATTTGAGTTGACTAGAGGTGTGAGTTTGGGCCTGAGTCCTGTTCCAGTTCCCCAGGTAAGGCGTTGGGATGCGGGAGAGATGGGGTATAGCAGGGGAGCTTCTAGCCGGGCTGGGATGATCTGGCTCCTCTTGGGCCTGTGAGAGTCACACTCCCGCCTCCTGCCTTTAGGCTCCTGGTGCTTAAGCTTAATTAGCAGGGATTCTATAGAGCTGCACTCCAGAATGATAGCTACTAGCCATGTATGGACTTTTTTTTTTTTTTTTTTGAGACGGAATCTTACTCTGTCACCTAGGCTGGAGGGTGGTGGCGCGATCTTGGCTCACTGCAACCTCTGCCTCCCGGGTTCAAGCAATTCTCTGTCTCAGCCTCCCGAGTAGCTGGGATTGCAGGTGTCCACCACCACGCCTGGCTAATTTTTGTATTTTTAGTAGAGACAGGGTTTCATCATCTTGGCCAGGCTGTTCTTGAACTCCTGACCTCGTGATCCACCCACCTCAGCCTCCCAAAGTGCTGTGATTACAGGCATGAGCCATCGTGCCCAGCCTCACATATGGCTTTTTAAGTTTTAATTAATTACAATTAAATAAAAGTAAAAAGTCAGTTCTTTAGTTGCACTAGCCATCGTTCAAACATTTAGTAACCACGTTTCCGTCGTTACGGAAAGGTCTGTGGGCTAGTTCTGCTCTGGTTGCGGCCCCTGTCCTGCACCCACTCGCTGTGACTGTGTGCATGTGACTCTCTCCCTGGGCCTCAGTTTTCCCATGTGAGGAATGGGGATAGTAACACAGGCTGGCTCTGAAGATGAACATTAATCCATGCCTGGCGCTTTGTGAGCACTCACTGAGTATTAGCCTTGATGCAGACCCACCGGTTTCTCCTTCTGCCACTGGGCCCCGTCCCGGAGCTCCCAGGGAGGTGGTGGCGATGCAGAACGACGTGGGTCAGGGACACCCCATGCAGTCCGACTGGAGGGCTCCCGCGCATGTGTGCACATCAGGGACGGTAAGGGAGGCTGGCCGGGATGGAGGAGGAGGTGACACAAGATGGGAGGTGGCCCTGTCTCTTGGGAGCAAAGGCAGAGGGAGGTGGAGGCCCCTAAGGGCTCGGAGGACAGGGGTCCGGGCTCCTTGGCTGTGTCCCTGCTGTCTCTCGCTGTAGGTATTCACCGAATCTCTCCCATTCTCGGTTTTCTCATCTGCTGCATACGGGTCCTCATGGTTCTCAACTGAGTCATGTGGTGAGCCCATCAGGCCAGTGCCCAGGGCTTATTCTGAGGACAGCTCCTGGAGAGGAAGGCTATCTCCCTAAGGACTCCTGCCCCACCCTGGGTACAAGGGGTTCCACCTGCTGCCCCTCCCCAACTCCCCAGCTCTCCTCAGGCTGAGAGTTCCCCTCTCACTCCAAATAAGAGCCACAGTGCTGACAGTGGCCCCCAAGGCCCTGCCCAGCGGTCCCCAGCTTCCTCTCTAGCTACATCTCCCAGCCCTCCCCTTCACCAGCTCCTGTGGGTGCCTCAGCCCTGCTCCTCCCCTGCCTGCCTGCAGTGTTCCTCCTCAGGTCTTCCCCTGGCTCTCTCACCTGCTTCCGGTTCTGCTCAGACTGCACAGCCTCACTGCGCCGTTCTGTCACCATCCTGTTTTAAATCGGAAACCCCTGCTCCCTTTCCCTGCACTGAATCTTCCGAGTGCTCCTTTTCTCCATGGCATTTGTCAGCTTTGGCTATCCTAATTTGTTTATATGTTTATTTTTTATTTTGCTGCCTGTTTCCTCATCCCCCCGGCTCCCCAATGGCAGGGAGTTCTGTTTTGGTCACTGCTGAATCCCTGGTGACCAGAGCAGTGATGACGCAGGGTTGGTGTGATATTTGTGGAATGAATGAATGCAGGACTTTTTGTTTTACCTTCACTTGGCACAAATGCTGTGGTTCTGTTCACCACTCCTGCCTTGAAATAATGAAAGCTATGGGCCCATCACTGTGCTGAGTGGAACTGGGGACACAATGGGGGCTAGGACAGACTGTGTCCCTGCCTTGTGGAACTCACAGTCCAGTGGGAGAGGCGACATTACCCACATAGTCATGCAGGTGACAGAGGCAAGTGCTGTGAGGGGAAGGGAAGGCTGAGCTCCGAGGGTCGGCTGCTGGTGGGAGGTCAGGGAAGGCCTCTCTGAGGAAGATGGGTGAACAGAGTGCCAGGCAGGGGGTACAGCAGG